AAAATCCTTACATTAAAGTAAAAAACACAAAAATTGTTGTATTATTACTGTCAAAGTCTGTTTAAAATGCATTAAGTTTTTAAGATAATGAATCACTAAATCAGGTTCAAGAAAACTAATTTAAGAAATAAGAAAGGATTTTGTGCTTTATTCAAAAGAAGAAATTCCTTCATTTTAATATTTATCATTGTGTTTTCCTGATAAACATTACTTTAATACATGCAGTATTTAAAAAAAATTGAAATATATATTCTAGCATATCAATCAACTTTTTAAGCATCAGATTTTTTGTTTTCATTAAAAAACATTTTTTTTACTGTTAATTCACTCAATACAAAATAGGAGGTCACGAAAGGTAGATGGTTACTGAGTGAGATTGTTGTAAAGAAGGAAGTAAGAATAGCAAAACAAATCTTTTCTTTGAACTAATAGGTAATCTTAATTTATTTGAGAAAGATATAATAATCCAGAACTTATACTGGGAGGAAAATGCCTGAATTCAGTAAATGCACAAAAATAGAAAAGTGTGTAAAACAAGAATGTGTGTCTTTTCATCATACTTATTCAACCTTTACAGTTAAGTAATCCTAAGTGAAATAGAAGTCCTACCAGGATTCATTATTGGCAGCCATAATCTTAAAAACATAAGATGTTCAGATGACACAGTGTTGATAATAGACACAGAAGGGAAACTACAGAAGGTAGTAAAGGAAAGCTACAAGAAAGGACTAAAGATCAATTGTAAGAAAGCTGAATATAAAAAAAGGAACAGGTCACAATATCAGCTACAAATTAGAGATACTAAAATCAAGCAAGTACAAAAATTTAAACATCAGTCACTCTCCCACCGCTGTAAGGTTGCATCTATACTTTCATGGTAATTGTTTAAATGAGCTCTTCACAATCATGCCAGAATTTTGAATTTAAGTGCAGTACTAGATTGGCATCAAGATCTCATCAATATACAATTGAGCTGGCTAGATGTAACCATAAATTCTATGCTAACAGTTTCTTTTCTTGTGCTTCATGCTTATAAAACTCCCTTCCAAATCTATGCTTTCCAACCAACTTTAATTCACAAAAATTTAAATGCAATGTCAATTGCTATCTAATGTCCTGCTGATTACTGTATTCTTATTCATTATTAATGTCTCTCTTCCTAATTCTTCCACAACCAGTAACACTTTATTGCTTTGCATGGGGTGATACTGATTTACAAAAAAAAAAAAAAAAAAAAGATACAGAAGAAAGCAGTGAATAACTTAAGCTAGTGTAAATGGTTGTCAAAAGAGGGATTAGGAGTGATGGCAAAAAAAAACAAACCTTACTAAGAGCTACAAGGAACAGGAAGTTTTGGAATTGTAGATTGCTCATGTCCTGATAGGATGTGACACATGCAAGAAGAATATAAAAAAAAATTTTTTTATAAAAACTGCACGCTTGTCAATTAAACTTTTATGGGATGATCACCTCTGTTCCCATCAAAACATTGACAAAAGTCTAGGAAGCAAATCCATCTTTTACTAATTTGATGATCAGTCTAGATCAATTAATCAGCTCATTAAGCCAGAGCAAAGGAGAATTTTTGTTTATGGCACAATAACATATGGACAGAGAGATAAAATGAAAAGTAACTTGATAATGTCATGAAATAGATACTAAAATAAAAAGTAAATGACTGAATACTCATTTTATCAAATTATGAAGCAAGTCAAACATTAATGCACCATTGAACATAAAATGAGCAACGAAAAAAAGCCAAATTGTTTCTGGTAACATTTTTATTTGTTTTATTGCACAATATAATCCATTGAAAATGTCATTTTTTTTTTAAATTAAATTAAATGCTATTTTTTTTAAGCATTTAATTTTAAATGAATGCATACTGATATGGAAAACATGAAAATGTGATTTACTTGGAGTGGTCGATATTTGACTAATTCTTTTAGTGTTTTTCATCAGCCAAAGCAACAGTTTTATTTTTATCATCATTTTACTCAATTTTTTACAAACCTAATAAAAATTAAAATGAAATAAGAATAACATAAAATACTTGCATGCATACCCATCTGTTTAGAATTAACAACATTTTGAACAAGTTTTAACAACTCTAGTTTAGTTCCTTATATCCAGGAATAAAGTCATTTCAACAGATCTAAAATAAAATAAAAAAAACTGAGTAATAACTTTTCTAGACAAAAAAAATACTAAAACTTAATCATACATAGCAAAGATAACATTTACCCTTTACATTCTAAGCAAAAATACTAGTTCCCATACAATCACTGAAGTTAAGAAACTTTGAGCTTGATCAATACCTAGATGGGTGACTGCTTGGGAATACCAGGTACTATAAGATTGGATTTGCAGGTGGTGTAATGGATAATGGTTCAGAATTGTTAATCAAAGAACCAAATTCCAATTTCTCTTGGGTTTGTTATATTCACTTCTGTGAAAATACATTGGAAGGGTATGAATCCACTTCTCCCAGCTATCAGTTAATTAGTAAGACTTGTATCCCTAAAACATTATCTCAGAAAAATTCTTACAATCTAAAACTATTTTCTGGCATTAAATAACCTGCAAAGGGTTGATAAGCCACATGAAACGAATTAATCAATCTAAGCAAAGGATTTGTTGAGAAAAATGATTTCTCCATAAATATGCTTCTGATTGTAAAAGCCTATAAACAATGAACTGGAATTGGAATGAAAGTAGAGATGACACATGACTATCATAAATTCAGGATGTAGAATTAGTTCATAAACACTTCAAATACCTCAGTGTATGCATCAGTTATAACAAATTTAAGAGATAAGGAAATTGATTGAATATAGAATAGGCTGCGCTAGGGTAGTTTTTGCTCAACACCACAAATTGCCTGATGATCATTATCACATGAAACTGAGTAGCAGATTACATTATATTTAGGCTGTTTACTTTGACATTGAGTCCTCAGTTTATATTACATTTTAAGCTTTAGCCTTTATTCTTACTGTTATATATATATATATATATATATAGCATGGTGGATTGCAGCTCAGATTGATAAATTGGAGAGCTGAATTTGAATTCCAATCAAGTTCATTACATTCACTTACGTGCTAATACTCTTGGGAAAAGTATGAATCCATCTCATCTACCTCCAGCTATGGGTAAATAACAAGATAGATTGTGTTTTATAGCCTTGGGTGGCAGCAGATCTAGGAAAAGGACAACTCTGAATTCAAAAACCTGCAGAGGGGCGTTTGGAGACCTTGTGGCATACTGTGAAAGTGTGGTTGCTTCTGCACAAGCCTTCACCTTTATAATCAAATAATATGTACAGGTAGTCTGGCTGTTGGTTCTAAGAACTCAGCTGCTTGACCCTCGTGACGTTGAAAACAATAGGAGAGTCCAGTGTGTGTGTGAGCATATATATATATATATATATATATATATATATATATATATATATAAATTAGTTCATATACGTGCACCTATGTTTTTGACATGTGACTACAGTTTTGCTGGGTGGTGTTACTTGACTTAGAACTCCAAGTTCTCTAGATACATTTATAGCTGATCTTTGGCAGATTTCTTCATGAAATGAATTTATATATTTAATTAAATTTTATATATCTGATTCAGCAATATTTGAAGTATTTTTCTTATTTAGTCCAGTTATCTAAAAACTTTCATTATTCCAGAAAGTAAAAATAATATTAAAATCTTAAACTTTCTCAATTTAGCTAATGACCAAGTAAAAACTAAAGAGCGCAAAGGTGAACCTTGGATTATGAAATACTCATGTAGGAAAATGTCTTTCTTTTTTCTTTTTTTATTACCTCTCACAAAGTAGGATCATTTTAAAATCATTTTTACAACAAAACAGCATTAAAATAATCCTATGACTGGAATAAACAATTGTACATTTTTGATAAAGCTCAATACACTTATGCAAATTTGCAGATAAGATACTGCCCTTTAAATATATCTAAGAAAAAAAAACATATTCAGAATAAATTTGCTGTAGTGTTACATCTACTATTAGTCCTATGAAACAAAAAACTTCAGAAAATTCAATTGAAGGCACCACTATATTAAATCATGGTTTTCTACTGTCCATCAAGTCATATGATATAATGTAAATGGCAATATAAAATACATTGTCACATGCAATCAATCTATTTTTAAAAATAAATTGCTATAAGCAAAACATTAAAATATTTGTGTGGGCAAGATGAGAATTCAGTGAGAGACTTTTTGGTCAATTTAGTTATCACTAAATGGAACTATGTTCAAGAAAACCAAGAAATTTCATTTGTAAAGTTATGATAAAACATTTGTTTTTATTAGATTAATCTAAGAATACCATAAGATTAATTTAATCTTTGTGACATCTGAGAAAAAAATGTTTATACACATTTTATCAATAAATTTAAATTTATTTCTGCAAAAGTTGTCACTTTGTAAATAGCTTTTGTTAAAATAGTTTTAACTGTTATTCAATATCGGAGCAATAAAATCTTCCATCTGACAGCTCATCTTTTAAATAAGAAAAATGCTTGCCTTTACTGATAAGTCAATTTGTAATGCCTCTTTAATTTTTTTTCTCTTTATAACAATAGTGAAATTCAAGCCATTAAATATAAAAAAAAAAAAAAGTTTTAATCAATCAACAATCGTAAAATCCCCTAGATATTATCTTTTAATCTTACTTGCTAAAACAATGCCTACTCACTTAAGACATCATGATTCTCAATTAGCTGTGGGATTTTTACGTGACAAGTTTTTCCAAATAATGGAAGATTTCTTTGCTTTAAGTTTTGCAGATTTATTTCTCTGTTTGAATATAAAAGTTTTAAAACACTAAGGCTACTTCATACACATTGGACAATAAGAAAAAAAAAAAAAAAAAGAGAAAGAAAGAAAAGAAATAGTTATACATCCAGGATTTGAAACTGGGATGAACTAAATCTCAAAGGCTACTATTATGCGATATTATAACACAGAACTTTTCAAAGGTGAGAGGGAGAGGGAGAGTGAGGGGGAAAGGCTGAACACAGAGAGAGAGGAGAGAGAGAAAGAAAAAGGAATGATAAAACGGAGAGAGAGAGAGAGAAAACGGGGAAAGAGAGAGAGAGAGACAAAACGGGGAAAGAGAGAGAGAGAGACAAAACGGGGAAAGAGAGAGAGAGAGACAAAACGGGGAAAGAGAGAGAGAGAGACAAAACGGGGAAAAAGAGAGAGAGAGAGAGACAAAACGGGAAAGAGAGAGAGAGAGAGACAAACGGGAAAGAGAGAGAGAGAGAGACAAGAGAGAGAGAGAGAGAGAGAGAAAACGGGAAAGAGAGAGAGAGAGAGAGAAAACGGGGAAAGAGAGAGAGAGAGAGACAACGGGAGAAGAACGGAAAAAGGGAGAGAGAGAGAGACGAAAAGAGGGGAGAGAAAACGGAAAGAGAGAGAGAAAAAGGGGAAAGAGAAAGAAAAAGACAAGAGAAAAACGTGTGAGAGAGAGAGAGAGAATGATGAACGGTGGAGAGAGAGAGAAGGAATGATGAAACGGTGGAAGAGAGAGAAAGGAATGATGAAACGGGGAGAGAGAGAGAAAGGAATGATGAAAACAGGAGAGAGAGAGAAAGAATGATGAAACCGTGGAGAGAGAGAGAAAAAGAATGATGAAACGGGAGAGAGAGAAAGAATGATGAAACCGTGTGAGAGAGAGAGAAAGGAATGATGAAAGAGAGAGAGAGAGAGAAAGGAATGATGAAAGAGAGAGAGAGAAAGGAATGATGAAAGAAAGAGAGAGAGAGAAAGGAATGATGAAAACCGTGTGAGAGAGAGAGAAGGAATGATGAAACCGTGTGAGAGAGAGAGAAAGGAATGATGAACTGTGTGAGAGAGAGAAAAAGGAATGATGAAAACGGTGTGAGAGAGAGAGAAAGGAATGATGAAATGGTGTGAGAGAGAGAGAAAGGAATGATGAAACCGTGTGAGAGAGAGAGAAAGGAATGATGAAACCGTGTGAGAGAGAGAGAAAGGAATGATGAAACCGTGTGAGAGAGAGAGAAAGGAATGATGAAACCGTGTGAGAGAGAGAGAAAGGAATGATGAAACCGTGTGAGAGAGAGAGAGAAAGGAATGATGAAAACGAGAGAGAGAGACAAGAAGAAAACCGTGTGTGAGAGAGAGAGAAAGACAAGATAAAACGCAGAGAGAGAGAAAGACAAGATAAAACGCAGAGAGAGAGAAAGACAAGATAAAACGCAGAGAGAGAGAGAAAGACAAGATAAAAGGAGAGAGAAAGACAAGATAAACGCAGAGAGAGAGAGAAAGACAAGATAAAACAAGATAAGAGAGAGAGAGAAAGACAAGATGAGTCGCCAGAGAGAGAGAAAGGAAAGATGAGTCGAGAGAGAGAGAAAGGAAAGATGAGTCGCTGTGAGAGAGAGAAAGGAAAGATGAGTCGCTGTGAGAGAGAGAAAGGAAAGATGAGTCGCTGTGAGAGAGAGAAAGGAAAGATGAGTCGCTGTGAGAGAGAGAGAAAGGAAAGATAAGTCGCCAGAGAGAGAGAAAGGAAAGATGAGTCGCTGTGAGAGAGAGAAAGGAAAGATGAGTCGCCAGAGAGAGAGAAAGGGAAGATGAGTCGCCAGAGAGAGAGAAAGGGAAGATGAGTCGCTGTGAGGAGAGAGAGAAAGGGAAGATGAGTCGCTGTGGAGAGAGAGAAAGGAAAGATGAGCTGTGAGAGAGAGAAAGGAAAGATGAAAACTGTGAGAGAGAGAGAGAAAGGAAGATGATCGCTGAGAGAGAGAGAAAGGAAAGATAAAACGGAGAGAGAGAGAAAGGAAAGATAAAACGGAGAGAGAGATAGAGAAAGGAAAGACAAAAGAGAAAGAGGGGAAGATGAAACAGAGGGTGGAAAGATGAAACAGAATTACTCGTAGAAATTATTCCAGATAAACCAGGACTACTGATTAAAATTCAATGAATCTAAACAATAAATTACAAAGAAGAAATATAAAAAATTGCTTACCATTTTAAAAATTCATATTTTGCTAACAACATCCAGAGCGAAATATCATTCACTTACCTGAAAAGAGAAATAAAATTATTAGGCATATCATTCCAAACAGAATTAAAATGTACTGTTTTCCCCCTTAAGTTGATCATGTATTTATGGCCTCTTATTAAAATAAAAGAATCTCTATCACCCAACAAAAGCCAATAAACACAATAATTCTCAATCTGGTTTTCAATTCAAGTTCTTTCAGTTCAATATAGTCACCTAGTTTACACACATCTTGTAATAAACACAAATCATTTCCTTACCACAATTTACTACTTTTTTTCTTTTTTTGACAAGAAAATGAATGTTTTGGAAAACTGAAAGCATAAAGAACTAAGGAACAAACCAAAAGTTCAACATTAATAATATTAATTCATAAACATCTGTATTTTTTTTCTTTATTTGAAGACTCACTATCAAATTAGAAAACTTTAAAAAAAAAAAAAATATTTGATAAAACCTACAAAATAAATTAAAAAAATCAAACAGTTATAGCAAATGCAAAACCAAAATTTGAGGCTTCAGGCACTCCCATTGTAAGCTGCACAAGCCATGGCACATCTTAACCATAAATCACAATATTAACTAAATGTTCAGGAAAACATCAAGTGGCACTCAAGAGCCAAATTAAATGTTTTCATTTATTTTAGAATATATGAATATGAAAAGATAAAAGTCAAGTAACATTCTTCTGTGCTGTGTCCCATCATGACATGAGTGAACATGGCTCTCCACAATTTCCTGTCCTTCATAGCTTTTACTAAAGTGTATTTTTGCTGTCTCTCCTAATCCCTTTTCTGCCAACCATTTACACAAGCTCATAAGGTAGATTACATGCTGCTTTCCCCTGTCCCTCTTGCCTCCTGTTAATGTTACATTTTCTAAGCCCTCTTTCCTCATCATGTACCCAAAAAATTTTAAATCTCTTTCATTTGCAAATTATAAGTTTCCTTTTTGTTTCCATTTTCTTGAAAACTTTTTTGCTCACATGTTCAGTTCATGGTATTCTCAGCATCCTTCTGTAGAACCACATTTTTGTTGCCTTGTCTCATCATCTGTGAGGAGATTGCCCAGTATTCACTGCCATGTAGAAAAACTGATCTTACGTAATAGTTCAGTACTGTTGTTTCTAATGACATTTTTCTGTTTTTTAATACTTAGCTATCTCAATGCACCTTTAGATTTTGGCATCATATTTTCTGTCCTTAAAAACCTCTGAGATATTTAAATTTTTGTACTTGCTTCATTTTAGTGTTGCAAATTTGTTCCTTTTACTGACAACCATTTATTAAAAATACATTTGAAAAATAATACAGGAAGGAGGAAATATTTAAGTTGAAATTATGCAACAAATCAAAGTAAACTGAACCACAAACTTGTAATTTAATGACATCAATAGTAATATATAAAAAAATAAAATTAACAGCAGCCTAAGCCATAAGTTTTCAGTTTCTGTTATATGTTTTTAGCATGTCTGATTGTTATTTAATCATGATGACCAATTCTGAAGGATTTAAAAAAAATAAAGATGGCCTACGTTGAATATGTCCATTTGATTCTTTTCCTAGAGTCTGGACAAAGTATAGCCAATACGAAGTCACAAAAATTCTTTTCTCTGTTCTATCATTTTTTAACTTGATTTTTTTTATAATTTAACTCAATTCTGAAATTGGACTGCTAAAAGTTCTTTTTACATATTTTCATGATTGTTACAAACATTTTTATTTTCATAAATTCACATGCATGCACACACAACTTTCTAAAATCTGACCAACCATTTTTTTTTTAACTCTTTCTTTATTCTGTTAAAAAAATTTCAGCAAGAAATTTTATCTTTTTTGAGAGAGAGGAAAGAGAAACTTTTTAAGCCAATGTCCATAAGTCAACATAAAAAAAAAAAAGTCAACATAAAAAAAGAAAAAAAAAAAAAAATTTAACATGCCATCCCAGAATACAATATGGCTACAACACAATAGATAGCACAAGACAACATTTCAATTCAAAGCAGCAAGAGACAGGAGTAGTGAAAAAGTAAAGTAATATAAACTTAATATAAAAGATAATTTTTTAAAAAATATCATTGATTATGAATAATTATCAAGATGAAAGAAAAGACAAAAGTGAAAGTGATGAATTCACCACATGGCAAGTGGATGAAAGTTAGCACTTGTATGAAACAGTCTTATAAAATTCATGTAAACATCCAAAAAATATATCTATAATGTGAAATTCATACTTTAAAAGAGCCTGGATCAGTTAAAATTTCTAGTTTATCAATAGCCTATTTGCTTTTGCTAACATTTCAAGGGATCAAATCTTCAGCTATAGGTGTAATATTCATCAAATAACCTTTTTATCTTATTTTGACTACCATATATCCTCAAATAGCATGCAAGTTTTTATGATCAGTTTTTTGCACAAAAAATAAAAGGTTACATTATACACAGGTAATTCTTTTTGAAGAGGTTAAAAATTATGCATTTTTGGTAACCGGTTGCACTATACTAAATTTTTTGGTGGGTGGATTCGTGAAAAAATTCACAGGTTACACTATACTTGAAGTCAGCTTATACACAAGTATATATGGTACATTTAATAAAGTAAAAAATATCTTTGAAATACAGAAAAAAAATCATCTTTATTTAAGAGTGGCTAATATCAAGATCTTACAAATGGTTTCCTCTAAAAGAAACCCATACATCATTATTTTAAGATAAATTTCTATTCATCCTAAATTCTATAATATTTGAATCTAAATCTGCTTGTAAATAAAATATAATAAAAATGAAATATTTTCGACTTTGAAGATCTGAGGCACTTATAGAAAAAAACTATTTTCATAAAATCTGAATAGATGCTGAATTTCCTTTCAAGTTTATTCAATAATAAATTTCGAGTCCCATCTAAAAAGCAAGTTCAGTGTGTACATGTTTCAAACTAAATATTTGATGATGGTCCTGATGAACTTTCCTCTTTGGCACCTCAACTTCATGAGTCAAAGCATACAGGATGTGATTAATAAATTACTATCTAAATTAAAAATGAGAAAAAGAAAAAAAATGACATCTTATTTTAACATATGTTTACTAAAATTACACAAAAATATCCAGAAATATTGAGTAAATTTACTCAAAATCACCATTGGATCCAACCACAGTCTCCAGATGACTCCAGAATCTCCTGCAACTCTTCTGGGTGGTCTCCTTGTTTAATTTGGTGAATGCTGCCATAACTGCCTTCAGTTCATCATTGGTGTCACAAAGAGTTTTGTTGGTCTCTCTCTCTCAAATGTGCCCCATACATAATCAAGGGGGTTGCAATTTGGGGAATTAAGTGGCCAGATGTAAGGGTTGCAGAAATTGTCTGACAGCCATGACTGGGTTCTCCTGCTTGTGTGGCAAGGTGCAGAGTCCTGTTGCCAGACATAGGCTCTTCCAGCAACCATCCTCTTGACCCAGGGCAGCACTACCTCCTCAAGGCATTTTATGTAGGCCTCTGTGGGAAGATGAACGGAGGCATAACATCACCAACACTAGTGATCCCTCCAAACACCTTCATAATTACCATTAGACTCATCCAATTTTTTCCAGATCCTCTGCACTGTCCTTAGATTGACACCAAAACACACTGAAATGTTCATAGTGGAGCTTCCAGTTCAAATGCCAAGTCATATGGCATGCCATTTCCAAATTTCTGATGGAGTGAATTGCATCATGGTGCTCTTTTTCTCAAAGATATTGCCCAACCGACCCTATTATACTTTGCAGTCAACAAAATGGAAAGCAAATAATGCACATACATAAAATTAAAAATATAAAATGGTGACAATTTGCCCATCGCATCCTGTAGTACTAAATTGTCAGTTAATTGTTGAAATTGTTAAATGTAATTAAGTTCTATTCTCATAGTTTCTTCTCAAACTTCTTGCCTGTGAAAGTTATTTTTCAGAAGTATTTCTTATTTAGTCTCGTACCAAACTAGACTTAAAATTAAAAAATTAATGTATCCTTATCCTAATTTGTAGGACCAAAATCATTCAGCTGCATTAAAATATAAGTTATACCGTGAATGGACATGCAGATGGTGTAATGGATAGCAGCTGGGAATGGGAAATCAGAGAGCCAAGTTCAAATTCTAATCAAGTTAATTACATTCATTTATGCACAAATACCCTTGGGAAAAGTATGAATCCATCTCTTCTCCCTTCATCTATGAATTAAATAGCAGAACAGACTAGATTATATTGCCTTGGTTGGAAAACAGTCTAGAGATGGTGACTTGATAAAAACATCCATCCCCAAGCATCCTGGGACACATCTGGATGAATTAGCCGATAAAACACAGTGACTGAAATTCATCTATTGTGTGAGTTGTGCATTCTGCCACAGAAAAAGCATTTCTTATATTATGAGGTTCATGGAAAAAAAGAATTAGAATCATTTTTATCCACTAAAACCTAGAACAACTACAGCTGTAGGGATACAGAAGGTGATTATCTCTCTTTGGTCGAGATAAGTCATGTGAGTTACATGACAGCTGATGAGTGACATCACTTCATACAGTAATGAAAGTGGCCAGATATACAGTTCTTTTACTGAAACTAAATGAACCAATCATTTCTTTGGCTAAATCTGCCTACCCCAACAGTTTATAATCACATAGCACTACTTTCCTTTGAGATTATATCTTCCCCAGATATAAAAAGAAACTGGCTATAAGTCCTCAATTTTTGAAAACCCAAGACCAAAGAGTAGATGAATCTGGCCCATTTGAATCTGGAGTCTTAAACAGTGCTTCTCCAGAAACACACAGGAATTTCCATATTATATTTAAGACCCTATTTCCTTTCGTTCTGCTTGCCATGTAGACATGTGATATGCATGAGACATATGTATATATAGTTTAGTGTATGTATTTGTAGTATAAAAATTTCCCTGATAAAGCATGTTTGTCATTTTTACCTTTCAGCCATATTGTTCTGTCTGTGACAGCATGTTATTATATCATGGATATAATAAGACCCATAATGGGGGAAATACAAATGGGAGAATAAACTATTCTTCTGTATGTCTGCCATCATAAAGCAATTGGAAAATTTAGGGGTATACTCAGTAAATGATATGAAGCACCAGAAAACAGGTTTTAACTTAAGTAATACTGGACAATCTCCTCACAGATGAGGAGGAAAATTGAAGCAACAGAAATATGGTTCGACAGAAGGAAGCTGAGAATACCATGGCTCGGACATGTGAACAACAAAGTTTTAGAGAAAATGGAATCGAAAACAAAAAGGACACTTATACTTAACATCAGGTAGACAGAGTTGAAATTTCCAGGTCACATAAGTAAAGAAAGCTTGGAAAATTTGATATGCACAGGACAAATTGAAAACAAAAGGGAGAGAGTAAAACAATATATAACTTCCCTATTGAGTTTAAGTAAATGAATGGCAGGACAGAGTTTAGGAGAAATAGCAAAAAGACAAAATTTATTAAGACGAACAGAGAACAGGAAATTGTGGAGAGCCATGTTTGCCAACATCCTGAAAGGATGCAGCACATAGAATTACTACAAATTTGCAACATAACAAGAAGAAAAAAAGAGAAAAAAAAGAAATGGATTGAAGAGAGTGAAATAGAGAAGTGTTAACATTAATGAAAACTGGAAAGATTGGAGGCATTGAAATATTGCAGGTCATGCTGTTCTGATAGAAACTGGACAAGACATTCATCATATTTACAGTTTCAATATATAATGAAGCACTGTGTTAAAATGAATACATCAGCTTTTTGTTATTTCAATATATTTCAGCACTGAATGAATAGGGTTTTATGATATATTGGCTGTTACATGAGAGTCAGGTAACTTTCTTTTTTCTTTTAATACAGTCAGATTATGATCACATATGTGTAAGGTTTGGAAATGGAACCCAATAGTAACACTAGTCATTTTATGTTATAAAGATTAATAACCCAAATGTCTATAGATACTTAAAAAATAACCAACCAAAAAACAGCATGGTGTTTAGTTTTAAAATATCTTGTTTTCAAAGCATTGGTATAATAAAGAATGGTAAAAGAAAAACAAATTTGCTTTCTTAAAATGTTACCAGCTGATTTTTTTCTGTAGCCTAACTTAATCTATTGTGAATTTCAAGTATTGTATGCATCATCTGAACCAATACTATTTGTTCCTGCTTTTGTTTCAAACCAGAAAAACTGACCAGCTGAATTATTAATAAGCCACACTTGATAATCACTAATTTTTCACTAGTATTTCTTTCAGATAAATTCCAGTTGTGTTCTATTAAAACTATTAGTCTACAGCCATTACTAAACAATATAGACAGGATATATAAAAAAATAAACTTAATTTATTTTTTACCTATATGGTTTACCAATGGCTAGACAAACAGTTTGATTGGTAGATTGGAGGTTTTGAGGAGTATAGGACCACCTGTGCTATTGTTCTCAGGTTCACCCCAATCTGTGGTGATAGCACCTGTTAGGACCCTAGCTATGGATAATTAATGAATCCCTAAGCACAATGAAAGTATATAAACACATTTTTATAGTAAAAATACCAGAAATACATTTTTATGGTAAAAATACCAGGAATACATTTTTATATAAAAAAAAAAAAAAATGACCAACAATATACATATTTATAGTGATGTAATGGAATAACCTGTCACCCCCATGAGTAACTACACTATAGGTAGTAACTACCTATAAGTATCCGTAAGTCAATGGACTACAGAGTCTAGCCGACATCTGTTGAGTACGACAGACTTATGCGAGAACTACCAATAGTAGCACTCACTACTGGATTGACTTGCAACAATTGTGCGCATAACTGTTACCTTATTTCTTATTGTACTGGTTTTACAATAAACCTTTACTTATTTTATCCACCATGTTGTTCAAGTATATATTCCTATTAGCACGGAATATAACATATAGTAAAATTATCGACAATGCATTTTTAAAACAGAATTATCAACAATAAATTTTATAGCAAAATGACCAACAATACATTTTATGTGTAGTTGAAGCTATGTTCAGTATAGTGGCATTAAATAACCCATAGAGGTTGAATTGTTGCTAAACAAAAATGAACCAACCAATCAACAGTCTAAGTAGTTGCAAGGAAAAGTAACTGAAGATGGAAGTAGTAAATGGTCAATTAAATAAAGATTATGGTGATTGAAATTTTAATAATTTTTCTTATTTTTCTTTTTGAGGCTTATAAATAGTAATTGAAGCCATGAATCTGTCTATTTCTGAGATGAGATATTATGTACACTATTTACATTATTCAGACTATTATCCTCATCTTTGTCACCATATTTATTACAACGTTTTGGCTGTTGTATGCTCCGGCCTTCTTCAGGTGGTTGGAATGTCGAACTTAACCCTTTTTTTTCGCTCACTGGGGTTGACTGTTCTAGTTTCACGTACCATGTCTAATGGATGTCAGTTATCAGTTATCTCCATGGCATGTGGAACTAGAACAGTCTATCCAAGTGAGCAAAATAAAGGGTTCAGTTCAACATTCCAACCACCTGAAGAAGGCCGGAGTGTACAACAGCTGAAATGTATTAAATATGGCGCCAACGATGAAGACAATAGTCTGAATAATGTAAGTAGTGGAGCCATGTAATAAACAGAAATACTAAGATTTGAAAATTCACAAAACTATAAAATGTTATCACAGATGAAAATTTGAAAATTAAAGCAGAAAACAAAACTAAACATTTTGCAGAGATCTACATATACAACTCATTCTTGATGAACAAAAATATCTTTAGGCTGAATCCCAAAAAGTTATATCATACTTTAATGGTAATTCTATAAGACCTCACCATCCATAGAAATTGACAAAAGACTGGTTTCACTTATTGGCATCTGGGACAATCAGCAAAAGTTACTTGTTCAAAGCTTATTAACCTAATACGCTCTTGCAAAATATATTTCAAAGAAGTAAAATATAAAAAAGACATAGTAATTTGAAAATAAAAAAGAAATGAAAATAATCAATTTAAATGCTATCAAGGTCATGAAATCCAAGAGAAAAACTATAGTTTTTTCCTTTGCTGAATTCATTTTCTACTTTACAACTGGTTCCTGCTTAAGTCTCTTTCTTAGTAAAACAAGGATTGTGTCCTCTCTCATTTAACGACCTTACAGTGTCAAGTAATAAATATTGTTGATTAAAGCAAAAAAAATTTATTTTTATTTATTTTAAATACAAAGGGTTTTGTCTTTTCAGCAAGAAGTTTTTAAAATCTGCATTATGTTTTTAAAAGTAGATGTTGACTTCCTGTTGAAATCTTTTTGATATGCCTTGTTAGGATGTGGGTATGTCTTAGAACATATCTCCAACAGAATAGACTATTGTGTTTAAAAGAAATTAACCTATTTGTATGAAAATGTTTAAGTATTAGAGGTTGTAATTTTTTCCAATTACAAATCATTAAAGATTGAATAGTAGAAAATCTTTTTCAACAACTTTCAGGATCTCAAATCCTAGCAATCTTTTACTTAAGAAAAAGAAAAACTGTGCATCAAGGCTTAAAATAAAGCAAAAACTCCCTTAACGGTTATTTACACATAGAATTTCACTTCAATGTCCTGTAATTGTAGATAGGAAAGTAGAGCAAATTATAGTGTTAGATATCAAGTCTAATATCAGCAAGCAAAGAGAATATTTTGCAAAGGAGAGTACAAAATGTCATTATTTCTAATAGAGAGTAAAAAATACAGAGGGAGGGAAATAAGAAAGTCCCCAGATATGCAATTAGGTATTTAACATGCCATATATACACAAGCCTAAACCAATAAAATAAAAATTTAAAAAGTACTGCAGACAGGATCTTAAGTTCTGTCCAAAAAGAATTTTTACGTTGACACATCAGCTGAAGGGAAAATGTTTTTTCTCTTTCACATATAAATAGTAAACTGCAATGTAAAAAAAAAAAAAAAAAAAAAAAAAAGCATAGAAAACCTCAAATAAAATAACTCAAATTTAAAGAGCTGAACAATCATTTGCTGTCTGGTTTCTAAAGAGTCATGACAATAGGTAAGAAACATTGAGAACAAAAAGATTTCCACCAAAAAGACAAAATTGGAGACCATCTTTTTTCTTATTTGATTCCCTCCCACTCCAACAAAATATCAAGTCAGCAAAAGTGCCTGAACAGATTATATAAAATATGAGAATCATTGCTAAAAAAGAGACACAAAATCAAAATACTATTGACATAAAGAGGAAAACTTATCCAACTATTTACAAAAAAAAAAAAAAAAAAAAAACATCTATGTGAAAGATATTTTTGGCTTTCTGATAAAATTTAAGACTTAACACTGCTTAGCATGCAGCTTGAACATTTCTTTTTTTAAACAGAATTTACTGAAACAAGGCTACAATTGAAAGGTTTCATCTGTCTTCCACTCCCAACTGTCATTAAAATGTTACAGCTGAAATTGAACTTAATTTAAAAAAAAGAAAAAAAAAAAGAAAAAAGACATGGAGAAAAAAATTAAATAAAATAAAAAGGATAAATTCTTTTCTTTTAAAATTAAAATATATACTGTGTTTTCCTCAATATATTTTTCAAAGTAACAAATCCCAAAATATAATTTTGAATGTAAAGAAAACAACTAATTATTCCAAACTCATTTTTCTATTGTGAATCTTCTGTCCATTCAAGATGGGGGGTAATCATGGCTCTCCACAACTTCCTATACCTTGTGGCTCTTAGCATTCTGCCATCCATTCACACAAGCTCATCAGCTAGGTGGCTCTCTCTTGCCCTAGGATGGTTAAGTTTCCTAAGCCCCTATTCCTCATGTGCCCAAGAGATTTCTGCTCTGATTCTGTGCAAAAGTGTTCTTTTTGTTACCATTTTCTTTAAGACTGGTCTATTGCTTACTCTTGCCCTAGGATGGTTAAGTTTCCTAAGCCCCTATTCCTCATGTGCCCAAGAGATTTCTGCTCTGATTCTGTGCAAAAGTGTTCTTTTTGTTACCATTTTCTTTAAGACTGGTCTATTGCTTACTCACACTGTCCATGGAATTATCAGTATCTTTCTGTAGAACCACATTTCTGTTGACTCCTGTTTTCTTTTCATCAATGAGGTGATTGTCCAGCATTTACTGCCAAACAAGAGGATTGATATCATATAATAATTCAACATTCTTTTCTTTGTTTCTAATTTTTTTTATATTTTTTATTACTTTTAGCTTTTGGAATGCAGCTTTTGCTAATCCAATGTATGTTTGGATCTCAATGTCACATTTTCCATCTTCTGTTAAAACACTTCCCAGATATTTAAACTTCTGTACCTGCTTGATATTGACATCTCCAATTTGTTGCTCACATCTTTGGCTTTTTCTCTTGCTGATAACTATAATTTCTGTCTTTTTACAGCTGATTGTCAGTCTTTTCTTCTGGCTTTCCTTTACTACATTGTCTAGAAGGCACTGTAGTTTTCCTTCTGTCTGTCATCAACACAGTATCTTCTGCTTATCTTATATTGTGAAGCTTACACCTACCTATAAAACATCCTTGCCTTACCTCTTTATTTTTGTGTGTATTATTTTCTATCCATATACAGGTGATTTTCTCCCAAAATATACTCTGAATTATTCTAACATTCTTTACAAATAGATGTAGTTT